CCAAGATATTTCAAAAAATAGAACAATCCCAAAGTCATCAATCAATCCAAGCCAAGACAAAGTTCTCACTTTCTCTTCCTGGGGTAGTATCAATCAAAAAAAGAAAGTCCAAATCTGTATCTTAAAGCCTTATTGCAATACATTTCAGTCTTCAGATCCTTAAGGCATCTCCTCCAACAAAATCTTAACATATAAATATATTTTTTGTCCTCTCCCCTCCCACTTATCACATAAAGCCAGTTTTTACCTGAAAAAGACAGGTTTCTCAGTATCCACTTGTTGATTCCGTAGGGAAGGAGAGTAAACTTTCCTTTCAGCACCTCAAAATTGCCGCTTGTTTTCTCTTCTGGAAAGTATCATTCTAAAAGCCATAATTTCCAGGAATTATGTTAAATATGTCTTAGAGTCCTGGGTCAACCAAGAAAAACTTTCACTTTCAAAGGCTTTCTCCTCTTCCTCCTGCGCATTCTTGCCCAGCTGCCGGCTTCTTTGTGGCGGCCATTACGGACCGCCGCTGCACCGTCTTGGGAAAAGGGGGTTCTGCCGGCCGGGGAGGGGGTCTGCAACACCCCCAAACCCCTCTCCAGATCCCCCCTATCTTCAGCCACCCCTGCAGGGCAGCCTTAGCTCCAAACCCGTCCGGATCGGAGCACCAAAAACGGCTAGCGCAGCAGGGATCACGCAGTATCGCGAATCCCTGCCGCTCGCGAAGCCGACAAACCGGAAGTCCCCTCTCCTATTCTTTTGTAATTGTTTTGCTGATAGATAATTCCTACAAAAGCAGGTAGCTGGGAAGTCATATATGGATTGTTAAATCCTGGTTGAAGTGAGATAATATGTGCAATTCTTTAATCATAGCATAGAGATTTAAATACACAAAGAAAAGAAGGTCAATCCCAATCTCAAGGAGACCGTAGAAACCATAGAGAAGATTTTTATTTTTTTCAGAAAGTGGGCAAGTTCTTTGATATCAGTTCCGAAATATTTATAATCCTATTAACACTGGTGATAGAAATGGGAAATCATTTGTAATCCATGCAACGTGTTTTCTGCTACTGAACTACAACCCAACTTTTAAACTCTATCATATAGTTTCCTACCTTTCCAAGAGCTATAATGGCACAGTGGCTAGAATGCAGTATTGCAGGCTAACTCTGCATTCTCACTGCCAGGAATTCGATGCTGACCAGCTCAAGGTTGACTCAGTCTTCCATCCTTCCCAGGCTAGTAAAATGAGAACCCAGATTATTGGGAGCAATATTCTGACTCTATTTACTGCTTAGATGGGGCTGTAAAGCGCTATGAAGCAGTATATAAGTCTAAGTGCTATTTCGATTGCAATCTCAAACATTCCCTTTGAAACATCAACCTGAGGGGAAATAATTTCCTTAGGAAATTGCGTTATCATTGTGTATCAGTCAAATGCACTGCAGTATCACTCTATTGGATCATGAGTACCCAAGCTAATCAAAGTTAGTTTCTAACTAGCAGGATTTTTCCATCACAGAACTAAAAAAAATAAAGATAGCAATAAGTATAAAATATGTCCTTGGAAGTCTCTGCTTTAATTTTCATATCAGTTTTAGTGTTTCCCTTCCCACAAAAAGGATAATAATCCTGGCTTAATGTACAGGGCTTTTGTAATGATTACTTAGATAATCTACTTGTTGGCAGACCTTAAACTCCTCAAATATCAATCTTTTGTAATCCCAAGCATTTGCTCTGACGTATATTAAAAAAATTGATGCTTTCCATGTAATAGAAAATAAGTATGTAAATTCCTTCCTGGGTTGTGTTTGTAGAACACAGGCATGGATGCTATCAGGGCTAAGCATGAGTAAGCTGCAAGGTATGAGAATTAATTGATTACGTTTCTTCTGCGAGGCACTAAGCTCTGAATGAGACTGAGACCATTTGCATTTACAATCAGGAAGCAAAATAATTTTAGATCTAGATTTGATGTTTCACTGATCTCATCGTTCCTGAAATGGTTGTCTATATTAGTCTGCATATTTCTGATTCTTTTAAACCAGTGTACCAACATTTGTAGCATGCCTCTTAACTCCTTTTTAGGACTTGAATGTCTACTCTGGAGTCCTGCCATCTTGGCACCACTTTGTTTCTACTAGATGTTATGTAATTATGAGGCTCTGGGAACAAAGTAACCTTTGCATTGTAAAGAAAACAGATATAAGCACAGATAGTCCTCAGTTTGTTTATTTATTAGGCTTGTTTGCCGCTTGTCTCGCCTAGGAATATTGTGTTTCCCTGAAAATAAGACCCTGTCTTATATATTTTTTGCCACCAAAAAAGGCACCAGGTCTAATTTTGGGGGATTGTCATCCACTAACTAGCCTCACTTGCGCGTCGCCCCTGCTTCCTTTTCACTGTCACAGGTCTTCCGGAACTTCTTCTGAGGCCAGCAAGACTTTCCTGAAGGCCTCTGCAGCGGATAACAGCTCTGGATAGCTACAGAGGCCTTCAGGAAAGCCTTGCCAGCTGCAAAAGAAATGGGCTGGCAAGGCAGGTATTGGAATGTGCAAGGCCTGACTAGAAATATCCAAAGGTAAGTAGTAGGGCAGCTCCACCTTCCCATCCCCACCTTAGCTTAATTTTTACCCATGTACTCTGAAGTGAGTGGGATTTTAATTAGGGCTTATTTTGGTGTAGGGCTTATCTTATATTGGTTGCATGTGTAAAAATCAAGCTAGGGCTTACTTTCAGGGTAGGTTGTATTTTCGGCTAAACAGGGTAATCATTCATTTAACAAGTATTCAAAGTTACAACAACATTGAAAAAAAGTAATTTACAACAGATCCTCACACTTATAACCATCACAGAATGCCCACAGTCACGTGATCAAAATTTGGGCGCTTGGCAATGTATTTTTAACCATTGCAGCATTCCAGACATTTGACATTCTATTGTGACCTTCCCAGCCAGCTTTGGAGAATCAAAATCAATGTGGTTTAATGACCACATGATTCACTTAACAACTGCAATGCTTCACTTAACAACCATGTCAAAAAGAGTCATAAATCTGGGCGCAGCTTGTGCCCCTCCCAGTTGTGGTTGAGATTTATTGTATCTGTTCTCTAGCTGTTCTCTAGCTGGCGAAATAAAAAGAGTTGTTCATTCGTAGTTCTATGTTTATATTTTGGTTTATCCAATTAAGGCAGATTAAACTGAGGCATCAGGCTATGGAAAGTTGAAGTGGATTGCATTGGAGTGGATAATTGATTTGACTAATGTTGGATTAGTTCAAGAATAGATGTCAGCTCCCCACCCATAACAGCACAGGAAACAGACTCTGTTTTCAACAGCTTCTGCTTTGCTTTGTTATAAAAATATATAACCTCTGAACATTATATTAAATCTTTATCTCACAGATGTCATCAAATTGGATAATCCATCAAAGCACAGTGAAACACCATATAAAGGTTTTGTTACTGTGTAAATATCTTATCCCAGTTCCTTCAAAACATTTTCTAATAAATGATGACCTTAGTTGTGGAAAGAATAAAAATAAAAATAAGGTAGATAATGAGTGACATTGCTCCATCTCTGGAAATTGTATTTCTTTTAGGGCTAGATAGATTAGGGAATATTACTTTTCAGAATTCAGTATGCTTCCAAAACAAAAGGTAATGCTTGAATGAGAGCAAACTCTAGATTACTTACATATGCAACTGACTCTGTTTTGTACTCAGCTTTGTCACTTTAGTGCACACCTAATTATAAAATTCATAAATCAGGGAGCATGTTGCTTAACTTTTTAAGAAATATATAAAAGTTATCTGCTAACATGGATGCATCTTAACAGATAGGAGTAGACCACCAAGGTCCCTTCCAACTCTGTTATTATTATATGGGGAACTGATAAAAAGGGGGTCTTTTTATTTATTTTTAAATCCATTCTACCCAATTTTCACATAAGTTGGAATAAACATGTTGTTTATCTGTTGTTTGTTAGTTGTTATTGGCAATGACCATGCTAGCTTTGAATTCTGGGAGTTAGATTACATGCATCTAGAGGTGCTAAAGTTGAGAACTGCTGATAGGCAATCTAACTTTCTGATCATTTGCCTTGTAATCTCATGCTCTTTCTTTGCCATTATTTTTCCTTTAATAGCATGTGTATATGTATATGAATAATGTTACAGCATTAGGAAACCAACCCCATTTTAATTTGCTCGAATGGGTAGGTTCTGGGTATTAATCTGAAAGAACAGATCAATTCACCCAGTGCTATTTATCTGGTATTACCAGTTCTACCCAGAAAACATTAGGCAATCCATTCAAGATTCTTCAGAATCTTCCTTATGCAACTAGAAGTTGCAGTCATGAACTGGTCTTGACATGCTCCCTGAAAGAACTGGTTTATGGAGGTACATTTTGATGTCCTTTTATGGGCAACTTTAAAAATCATAAACCCAGCTCCCATGGAACCCTAGGTTTCTCCCTCCCAAACCCTGGGAGGGGCACAAAAATGATCTTATTTCACAGTATGCTAGAAAGGGTAAGGTCAGGATGGTTTCCTTTCTGAAACAAGCCTTTGTAATAATTCCTAGGAAAATAAAAGGGAGATGTTGCATTCTCTCTAAGGTCATTTATGTTAATAATTATTTGAAAGAGAGCTTAGAAAGCCCTTCTTTGTTGGAAGTTAGATGGCTGTTTTCAGAAATGTTGCATTTTCCTCCTACATTGTAGATCCTGCTTCAATACAACTAAATGACCTTCAGGTTATCCACCTAACTATAACATTCCCTGGTTCCATGTGTAGGATATTTTAAGTGTAAAGAATCACTAGTATAAGGAGATGCTCCATCTTCTAAGCAAGGCATTTGATTTGTGCAACAAATCCCTATGAAGCCTGTGTTTGGGCAGTAGTTCCTCACCAATCTCCTGGGAAAGAATAATAAACTTTTCTCCTTCCAATGCCACTTGGAAGCAGCAAAAGGCAAGAAAGATGACAATCAAAAAGGTTACTACAGAGAAACTGTTTATTGTTCTTTGGGTATATAGAGGCCCAGCCATTATTAAGGTACCTCTAGTGGATAGTTCTTAGTTTCGTGTATGCAGAATTAGTTTCATCCATAGTTCAATGGTCTTTACCACATTTCAGCATTTATTTCATTATAAAATAGCCCTACCTCCAGAACTTCTCAATATTTTACCAACTTTTCTCTTTTGAATATACTTGAAAATTTAACCATGACTAGGAAAGTTTTGGACAAGTAATACACCTCTTACTTTTCTATAGATATTCTAGTCATAAATAACTTGCCAGATATTCTTTTAATAATACAACTATGCAGCATTTGCTCATGGAATGAGGAAAGTTCTTTGATAGTCAAACTTAGATACTCCAATTACTGGGAACCAGAATAAATTCATGATACTATTATTTATTTTGAGGTTTTAAAGAAGCATGATACAACAGAAGATGGAGAATTATTTGCACTCATATTAAATTACATGCAGATGAAAATTGAGAAAAAGAATTCAGAATCCCCAAGACTGTATATAGAACTGTTTTCATTAAATAGTCAAATCTGTATATGATTTGCAGATAAGTAAATTTTCCTTCACATTGGAAATCATGCCTGCCGTTTGATCTCAGTAGTATGTGTAGAGACTACCTCTCCGTCCACAGTCTCTTGCACAATTTTTTTCAGGTTTGGATTGCTTGATCTGTATTCTGGAAGAAATTTGATTATGTATTAGCAGAGAAGTAGCATTATACAATTAATTTTGTAAATATGCTTGAGACTAAGCTATGGTGTGATGGGATTAATATAGAGTTGGGTACTTCCCCAGTTACAGAAATTTAACACAAAATGCAGACACAAATCTGAATGTCTCGAATAGATTGAAAATGTAACACGTTTGCATCTTATGATCATAATACTGTAGGATGCATGTAATTGTGAGAACCAGTTTACCCAATTGTGAACATAGATTGCTAATGATAATATGCTATAAGAATATAAGATAATATAATGCTATAAAAAGAACCATGATGGATTGATGAAAAAACATATTCATCAACATCCTGTTTCCACAGTGGCTTAACAGTTACTGTGAGATTACTTTTAGAAATTATTTTAAGCTTGCAAGTTTCTATAATGTAACCTTACAATAAAGATAGAGTTAATATTCATTCTTATGCTTCTAATTGGACTACTTTAAAGGTTAATGTCAGTCTTGCAAGTCTGAAACTATTTCCCCCTTCTTTTCTTTTACTCTCCAGAAAATTAGGAAAGGTCTCTCAAAGGTGCTTTTTCAAGAGCCACTTGGACAAGAGGCAAAGTCCAGTTGCCTCTTGAAAAAGCACCTTTGGGACAACCATGACCTGGATGATTGAGAACCTCCATAGATATTTAGGGAATGTCTCTTTTACATGATGGTTGTCTAGTCAGCAGTTCGTCCTCCTGTCTCCCACACTCATTCCCACATACCATCACATTTGGTTTCCAGCAACAGCTTGCTACTTTTGATCATGAAATAGCTATATTCATCATGATTGGCACCTGATGATAGCTTTAATCTTATGTTCATGTACTAATCCTCCTCTAAAGCTCTATGAGGTTTTTCCTACAAAAATAGAATCTAGATTATATTTACCTCTAAAGCTTGTGCCGGTTTTCCTGTGAAGTAATAAAAGCAATATCAGTAAAAGTGGTCTGTGCAAATCTGTTCCATGTCTCTTTTAAGATTGTTCAAAGAACCTTTTTGCTTCAAACCCAAAGTACTGTAAAGACTTAATTTCTTACCCTTAATAATTGCATTAAAATCCTCTCCATGCTGGAAATTGCTTCTATGCTATTTCTAAAATGAATGCTAATTCTAAAATGATTCTTAATAGAAAACAAGAAAAGAAATCCCTTTAAAAGAAATAGATCAAATGTGACAGGAAGAAAGCTTTAAAATCATATGAGAACTGTCTCATCATGCCAAAATCCTGTGATAGAACAGGATTTGGGCAATTCTTTGGGAGCTTGGTCATTAAACAAGGGTCTATGAAAAAATGTTGTGGTCCTTCAGAGTGCATTTTACTTGGAAAGGACAGCATTTGCCCACCTATGTATTTTGATGCAAATTGCATTCAGAATTGTTTCTTCACAAGTTTAAAATTTTAGATTATATGTTTCTTCTTTCCCTTTTCTACCTAAGGTTGACTGTGTCTTACCCATCAACATCACCATCCAGAAGCTGACGATAAGTAGAAATTTCCCTCTCCAGACGTGTTTTTATTCCAAAGAGGACCTTGTACTGATTATTTTGACATTTGATATCATGTCGAAACTTGCTGAGCTCTTCTTCACATTTTTTGATGAGGTTTTGGATACTTTGAAGCTGGAAAGTATAGCGAGCCTTGGTTTCTGCCATATTATTTTCTAGGGCAAATTTCTGAAATTACAAAACATGCCACCAAATGTTATGTTTTCAGGGTTATGTGTTCTGCATCGCAGAAACCAAGAAATACCCTTATTTGCTGGATATGAAATGAAATGAAAGCTTTTGTCTGTAAGCAGAGTTGAAATAATATATTTATATTTTGTCTATAAGTTTACTATTATTTATGCGGAGTGGAGAAATATTTACTTTTCCATTCCTATCCTGGCTTCCTTTCCTCTCTATTTAAATCTAAAAAGTAAAACGCTTGAAGCAATAACTAGTCTTTTTAAACTGCCATGTTAATTAGTGTTGGTATGATTTAATCATTGTCTGATTGCACAATTTTTCTGCTTATGGAGAATGATAATATTTTTATTTCTTCCCCCCCACCCCCACAGTTGCCCCAGACCAATATCTGGAATATTTTATCAGTCCCTTCATGACAGTTTAGTTTCTCAGGAGGGATTAATGTATAGTAAGAAAACTGAAAGTAACAATCTATAGTACCGTGTACAGAACCCCTTTTACTTTCCTGCTACTTAATCACACCACCGTATTTTGTGCATTTAACCCAGAAAGGCAAATTCCTATTTTTCTACAATATCTCTTTCAGGGAGACTGAAACCTCAGAATAGATCTTTCTTTAAAATCCTATGATTTTAAAAGGACTTGGGGCTCTTTAAAACTTTATATCCATTCAGCTGTAAAATCTTTATAGCAGAAATCTGAATCCTATAATAGTAGAAGCATTTCAAATGAGACTTCTGCCTGTCATGCAACAATGAAATGGTAGAGAAAGTAAAAAGCACATCTCAGACTTTCTTGCTTCTAGATCTACCAGACTCCTTAAAAATGTACTATGCTATTCAAAGGTCTACTTCAACAAGAATGAGTAAGCTGTATTGCCAGCCTCCACCCATTCACTCCCATTTGCTGAAATAGACATCCTCTATGCTTTAGCATTGGTGGATAGGGAAGGGGTCACCCAAAATAAGTTTCCCAGAAGGCAATTTGCACACCTATTTTAGAACTTATATTTTTATAAAGATAAAAATAATTCTACAGTTCAGAATCTTGGGAGCTGTGAATTATCTATCCTAAAGTGGTACAGAGACCCTGCCTTGGTACCATAGCACTGCATTATTCAGTTAATTGTATTATCCATTAAGATGATAGATTAGCTCTAAAAGTGCTATTGATTAATTAACTGATTTATTTATGACATTTATTTGACTTTCCATCTCACCAGAACCCTCAAGAGACAATGTTTATTTATTTGTGTATTTATTTATTTATTTACTATACTGATATTCTTTCTTACATTCAGTAGGGTATATATATATATATATAGTATATATCCCCTTTCCCCCCCTATAGTAACAATCTATGATAGGTATAGCAGTAACAAAATAGTAGGTTGGATTGAGAGAAAATGACCACCTAAAGTCATTGAGTGAACTTCCATGGCAGCTGAGGATGCACCTAGTCACCATGCCATATTGGCTATCCATGTTCATAGACAGTGCACCTGTTTATATCAAATGCTGAGACAAATATAGGAAGGCTTTCATTTGCGTGTCTTATTTCCGAACTTCTAAAGGCATCTGCTGGCTGTAAACTGTTTGATGGTCTTTAATCTATTATGCAAATCATTTTTAGTTGCCTTGTAATTAAAAGAAAAAAGGCATATCACCTGGATATAAATGATCCAACTGAAGGTATTCATATGGATCCACCCAGGCAATTGTAATGCATTTGATTGAAAAATATCAGCTCTCTTCCCCCCTGTCTACAGGTTCCCAGAAAAATCAACCATAAATGCTTTATGGAAAATCAAAATACAATATGGATGGACAGATTAAGTTTACAACAATGTTTACCAAAGTGGTGTTTTCAAACATATTGGATTACAACTTCCATAATGGCCACTATGGACAAATATTATGAGAGTTGTACTCAACATATCTGGTAGACATCATGTTTGAATTAGAAGATTACAAAAGAATAATCCTATCTAAGGGTATTACCTTATTTAGTTCTGTCTGGAAATCAATTTCCAGGGTTTGCAGTGTGCGATTCAGCTCACAGATTTCTTTCTGGCTGTTTTGTAGTTCTTCGTGGTTGTGTTGCCCCTCTGAAGATTCATTTCCAATCTGTGTGAACATAAAAAAAAAAGGAAATGAAGGAATTATTTAAACCTAGCCAAAAATGAAATTCCGTACACAGTTTTATATCAAGACACTGAATGCATAATTTCTATGCTATGAGTGATGGAAGCACTCCTATTGAGAAACTCCATCACAGGAGTTTTTACAAGATGTGTCCTTTTAAATGAAAGTGTGAGAATTCAGAGAGGTTGCCCACTGCCACGGAAATCGTTTGTACACTTCCGGGAATAATTTCAGTTACATATGTGTAGGGTCACCATATTCCACCCATAAGAAATTTGCCTCAAATCTTTTTTGGTAAATCTTGAAAGCAAACTGCCTTTCAACAACTTCAAGGAGAACTGAGTAGTTAAAAGACAGAACAATTTCTCAGTAACATAATAGTTTTTATGCAATATACACATGGAATATATGAAAATTGGACACCGGCATATTGATACTTGCTAGCATTAAATGAAGATATAGAGGAAATTTTAAATGTTAGGAAGATCAGATGTCATGTGGGAGGGCTTTCATGTAGATCAAGAAATGGAGTTTCTGGATATCTTATCAGACATCTTGTTTGTATATTTCAATGGGTGTGAAACCTTTGCACCTTGAGACCATTCCTTTTATAGGGAGCTATAGTATCAAAGTTATAACCATACATGATTTCTTTATCTTGTTTTCTGAAAGGATACCTGTTGTTGGAACCAAGAATCAAGACTTCGGCGGTTTTTTTCTATTATAGCTTCATAATCCGCTCTTATCCCTGCCAGGATCTTTGATAAATCTTCTTGTGGAGTTTTGTTCACCTTCACATTCACTTTAAAGTCTTTGGGTGTGCCATGTGTCTCCATATTCTGTATATGAAAAAAAATGAAGAAAAACCTCAGCAAACCCTCTTCAAAATATGTATAATAAAAGTATTCTGCTATCTGAGGCAAACAGCAAATAATTCATCTTGCTACACTGTGTTCCAAGGACCACTGGGGCAAGCCTTCAAACATTGCATATTTATAAAAATATTTTGTGATATCAGAAGTTTTTTTTCCCCCAATCCTAATGGAAATTGCTTCTTTTTCTTACATCTGCTATATCCTGGATTTGCATTTGTGATCTATCCTACCCCATTCTTCTTTTCTGATTGGAGTATTTAACCTCACCAGGATTTCTTCTTTTGTAATTGTTGCCCTAATTATTTGTATTCATGTACTCTAAAGTAAGGTTTCCCACACTGTGAACTGTACCTTTCTTCTGGAGGTGCAGTCAGAATACAGAGGATATACAAAGAATATAGATAGTCCCCAATTTATGATCAGTCACTTAGTAACCATCTGAAGTTTCAACAGACCTTCCCACTACTTATGACTCAAGTTCAAAGTTGCAATAACTGCCTCCCCTACAGTCACATGGTTACATTTTAGGTGCTTGCAACTGGCCCACATTTATGGGCATTTGTAGTGTCCTCTGGTCACATGACTGTGGTTTACAATATCTTTTGCCAGAAACCAGTGCTTACCTTCTGGTTTCTGGCAAAAAAAATAAAATAAAACCCATCGCAGACAATGAATTTGCTTTACAACTGGCACATTTGCTTTACAATATCTGCATTTACTTTATGACCATGCATTCACTTTACAATCAGAAGAAAGGTCATAAAATCAGGGACAGTCTCATGAGGCCCCATTTGACTTACAGCTGTAACTCTGGGCTAAGTTATGATCAAAAGTTTAGGGCAGTGGTTCTCAACCTGTGAGTCATGACCCCTTTGGGGGTCGAACGACCCTTTCACAGGGGTCGCCTAAGACCATCGGAAAACACATATTTTTGATGGTCTTAGGAACCGAGCCATAATTTCATGGTTGGGGGTCACTACAACATGAGGAACTGTATTGAAAGGTCGCGGCATTAGGAAGGTTGAGAACCACTGGTCTAGGGCACCTGTATTTTAGTTGTTCATTGCTATAATAAATCCACCTTTTCCAAAGTTGTTTATCTGTTCATTTTAATTTTGGATTTTAGGGGAGGTGTATACATTGAGATTATACTAAAGGGGTTGTGATGGCAAAAAGTTTAAGAACTCAAAACTTAACCCTGGAAACTGCCTTAATTAAAAAGATAGAAATATGCTTTACACAAATCTTGACACACAGTTCTTTTTAAAGTCAAATAAGATTTCTCCTTTAAGGAAAAATATATAGTTGCAGGCATGTTCCAGGTTATATTGGCATGATACACAGTTTATTGGTGGAAACTTGGAAGGTCTCAAGGATATGACATGCTTGCCTCTTCCACTTTGTTTTACTGATTTATACTCTGCCAGAGATTAATCAACTTCAGGGTCTGAAATGTAACTACTGTTGTTAAACTGAAACTTGTTCCTCAGATTTCTTAGAGGACCCTAATTAAGTATGAAAGGAAAATATTATATTGACCTGTTTCTTTATGAATACTGGAGCACCCTATCCAATAATACAAGAAAAACCTGTGTAAACTCTAGAAATTCTTCTAAGTTTCTATTGTCAGGATTTTTGGCATTGTAATTCTGGTATTCTGAGAAGGCACCAACTTGGAGAAGGCTGCAGTACTTCAAACACCAATTAATAGGAAGTGTTTCTCCAACTTTATTTCTCTTTCTGTGATTTTTGCAGAGTTTTAAGATGAAAATGCTATCTGCAATCCATAATATGAATTAAGAGAAAGACCAATGGGGAATTTTCTTCCAAAATCAGAATGTTGAGATGATATGACTCAGTGATCTACTGTCTATAGTAGCCATTACCGCATGCTTCCTGGAATATACTGTCCCATCTCAGTAAAGCACAAAGGCTTTCCCAAGGAGCTAATAAGGTACAATTAATAAAATTAAGCATGGAAAACTTTATTTGATAGGCTGGCAAATAAACAGTGGGGATGACAGTGGAAAAGACAGATGATTTTTGAGCCAGGGTGGTTCAGCATAAACTCACAACTATGTCTCTGGGTTATACTCCTGCCTATTAAAAAGTAATTAAGTAAATCCAGGGTATTAGCCTGGAGAAAGATCAGAACAAACTATTCCAGATCTCTGGCTGGTTAAACAGGATTCTGATCTTCATTTAAAAGTGACATAAGACTTCCATTATATATATATATATATATATATATATATATAT